ATAGACATATGAAAAAATGTTCAACATCTCTAATCATCAGGGAAATGCAAATCAAAACCACAATGAGATATCACTTAACTCCAGTGAGAATGGCCTTTATCAAAATGTCCCCAAACAACAAATGCTGATGTGGATGCGGAGAGAGAGGAACACCCCTACACTGCTGCTGGGACTGCAAACTGGTTCAGCCTTTGTGGAAAGCAATATGGAGATACCTCAAAGCAATGTAAGTAGATTTACCATTTGATCCAGCAATTCCACTACTGGGCATCTACCCAAAAGATCAAAAGTCACTTTATGAAAAGACACCTGCACTCGAATGTTTATCATAGCACAATTCACAATTGCAAAGCTGGGGAAACAACCCAAGTGCCCATCAATTCATGAGTGGATTAATAAAATGTGGAAGATGTATACCATGGAATACTATTCAGCTTTAAGAAACAACGGTGATATAGCACCTCTTGTATATTCCTGGATACAGCTGGAACCCATTCTACTAAGTGAAGTATCTGAAGAATGGAAAAACCAGCACCACATGTACTCACCAGCGAATTGGTACTAACGGATCAACACCTAAGTGGACATATAGGAGTAACATCTATTGGTTGTCGGGAGGGTGGGAGGGAGGAGGAGGGGTTGGGTATATACAACCACAATGAGTAAGATGTGCAACATTTGGGGGATGGGCATGCTTGAAGCTCTTACTCGAGGGGGGAGGGGGGCATGGGCAATATATGTAACCTTAACACATGTACCCCATAATCCGCTAAAATAAAAAAAATGAATTGAAAACATACATCCACACAAAATCTTGCACACATATATTCATAGCAGTACTGTTCATAATAGCCAAAAAGTGGAAACAACCTCAATATCCACCAACTGGTGAATGGATAAATAAAATGTAGTATATCCACACAATGGGAAATTGTTTGATAATGAAAAAGAATGAGTAGCGATGTGTGCTGCAATGTGTTGAACCTCGAAAACATTATTCTAAATGAAAGAAGCCAGTTACAAACGACCCATGTATTGTATAATCCAGTTTATACAAATGTCCAGAACAGGCAAATCCATAGACATAAAACATAGATTAGTGGTTGCCTGGGCTGGGGGCGGGGAGTGATCGTTTATGGCGGTATGTGCTTTCTCTGGGGGGAGGGGATGTACATGTTCTCAAATTAGATTGTAGTGCTTGTTGCATAACCCTGTAAATATACTCAGAACCATTGAATTGCATACTTTAAATAGGTGAACCACGTGGTATGTGGACCATATCCCAATAAAGCTGTTTTTAAAAATCAGAAGTGAAATTCTGTCACTGTTTTGCTCTGAACTCTCCAGTGCCTCCCTGGTCTCAGAGTAAGGGCTGGGCCCTCATGATGCCCTACACATCCCCCCAGGTCACCTGGCCTCCAGTTCCCGCCCTGACTGTGTCCAAATCTGCCCCAGCCACACTGGCCTCCTCAGCGCGCAGTAGCTGGTAGTTGTGCTGGGCACATTCCTGCCGCAGGGCCTTTGCACTGGCTGCCCCTGCTGCTGGAGGAGCTGGCTCCCCAGTTACCCTCCTGCCACCTCCCTTATGCCTGTCAAGTCACCTGGTACAGGGCCTTCCCCACCACTCACTCCTTACCACACTCTCCCTTTAGTGTTTTACCCGTAGCCCTCATTGCCTCTAATGTGCCAGGAGTTATTATTTTATTACCTTTATTGCCTGGCTCCCTCTATTAGAACGTACCTCTGTGAGTCCCAGGATTTTGTCTGCCGTCACCTCCATGATAACCCACCACCCAGAACAGGGCCTGGCACACAGCAGCTACTCTGCAGACACTGCTGATGGCAGGCCCGCCACGCCTGGGGCGAGCGTCCCTGGTCCTTCCCACCTGCCTTCCTCCTCAGCCGCCTGCCGCCACGGAGCCTGAAGGACCCAGGTCCTCCCTTCCCAGTTCGTCTTCTGCCGTGGTGCCCATAGGATCAGTTCAGCAGAAGCTTCTGGTAAATGTTTACTTCCCCAACAAAAGGAAAGCAGACCGGGCGGAGAGAGACCCCCTCTCTCAGTGTCTTGTCTGCACCCACCCTGCGCTTCCCAGCCTTGAACATCCATGCAGGAAGGCATCTTTCGAGATTATTCTCTTTTCCTGTACACACCTTTTTGTAAAGGTAGAATTGGATTATCTTTTCTGCGCACTGTTTGATTCCTGCTTTTCTCCACTTAATGAGCCATGGACATCGCGACCTGCCTGTCACTCTGTCTCCCCGAGGGAGCGCTCCCTCTGCCAGGGCCTGTTCACTCACTCTGCATAAGGACAGCTGGATAGGACAGATTGAACACGGCTGTCCTGGGCCCGAGGGCAGGGGCAGAGGTTGGTGGGATGCGGGAAGGCGGGGCCTGGCCCCCGTGGCTCGGCCCCAGGACGGGCCTGGTGGGGCTGGCTGCAGAGGCAGGCGGTGGCCCTTTCTGCTCAAGCTCTCACTGCCGTGTTGGGGACACAGGGCTCGGTTTGCCTCCACCCGGGCCTGTCTTGCTGGCAACAACATACTCCTCGGAATCTGGGCGGAGAAAGCCACGGGGTGGTTTCCTTCTGCACTTTCTGCATAATGTAAATGTAATTAATCATGTCTATGGTGGCTTATAATTTGGTATTTTTTCATTTTTAGCAGTCTAATTAAACCCATTTAAGCTTTATAAGTAGTTATTTTAGAATTTTTCTTTGTACCCCCACCGGCGTAGTGCTCAAAAGTCACAATAAACATGTCTCAAGGTGGCTACTGCTGTTTTCAAAATGAATCTGAAAGGCTCTTCAAGTAAAGTATTTTTTGTGTCACTACAACTTAAATTAGCCCTAGAAAAGGCTGGAGAAATATTTCTGTGTCTTTCTTCTTAAAAACTTTCCAGTGTTTTAGAGGATTAGGACGGGGACTCAGAGGCGCTGGGAGAGCTGTTTGGCAGGACAGGACGCGAGGGCGCCTGCCCCGGGCAGCGCCTGCCGGGACGGGCTCTGGCGCAGAGAGAAGCCACGCACCCTGTTCTCCCTCGCCCGACAGAAGCGCATTTCCTGGTACTTTGTACAGAGCTCATTCTAAAAGTGCGGTAATTAAGGTAGAAATATGTGGCACTCAATCCCTTTATGAATGCTTTATTGACCGAGTTTACAAAATCTCTGTTAAAGTCAGAGAAATATTACTTAAAAATAGGATTTTTTAAAGCTCTGTTAATAAAGAAATGTAAATTAAGGCCGCAACAAGATGCCATTTTTCTCATGCCAAATTGTCTGAGATGTGTGTCAATGATGAGGACTCGGTGTGGTCGGTGGTGCTGGCAGCAGTGGCCCTGGCACCATCTTGCCAGAAAGTAACTGAAGAGTTAGTAACAAGAATCTGTCTTTTGGATAATTTTTTCTTTGTTATTTTTCAGGGCAATTTTCCTATAACCTTGAACCAGAAAAGTACTCCCAGGACCATATCTTAAGGAAGTACTGTGAACTAAAATAACATTTTAAGACTCACCCTCCCCACCAGCTGAGTAAATGGACCCCCTTGTGGCCAAAGGAATATCCTAAAACTAAATTGCCTGCCAGGAGGAGGGAGGTCGGACATGCCTCGTCATGCCCCCCTTCCTTCTTGGAGACATCATTTGTAACTCCTTAACAGGCGTAAGGGCATGCAAGACAAACCTGCAGGCCCTCAATTTACACAACAAATCTATGTCCAGTGGCTTATGTCTGATAACAAACAGCTCCTTATGTTGAAACATTGTTAGACAAAGCTTCGTGTCTTTAACCAATTACAAGCCAAAGAATCTTTAAACCCACCTATAACCTGTAAGCCCCCCCCCTTTTGAGATGGCCCACCTTTTTGGGCCAAACCAATGTACGCCTCTCACATATTGACTGATGACTTTACTTGTAACCCCGGTCTCCCTGAGACTATACAACCAGACTGTAACCCAGCCACAGCGAGTCCACTGCTCAAGGCTTCTTGCTAGTGGCTCCGGGTCATGGTCCTCAAATTTGGCTCAGGATAAACTTCTTTCAAATATTCCTTCTCAGAGTTTGGATTTTTCCATCCACAGTACGGATCTTAAGCAATTATATAGGTAAGAGAATTTAGATTCATCTTGTTATTATTTGCTGAAAGTTTTTTAAAAGAAACTTTGAATTTTAAAAAATATATTGAATATCATAAAAAATATTTAATTAAACATCTGGCAAGCTTCATAAATGTGTGTGTCATCCTTGTGCAGGGGCCATGCTAATCTCTAAAAGAAACTTTTTGATACATTCATCTTTTCTACATTGCCCTATACGTGATAAATCCCTCCAATTCCTCATGTAGGAAGTGCCAGGTAAGCTCCTTTGGCAAGAACAACGTGGGGGCCTGGACTCAGACAGCCTGTGTGCCAGGCCCAGCGCTGCCGCTTGTCACCTACAGTGTGACCTCGGGCAAGGTTGGGCTAGTCTTCTTCATTTGTTTTCTTTTTATTAGTTATTCCTGAAACTATCTCATTTGTTCTCTTGTGCATTTTCTGGCTCCCAAATCTAGAAATGTTGGCTCCACAAGGGTAGGGACTCGGCCAGGACTGTTCACCACTGTGTCTGTGGAGTTCAGACTGCTGACGCCCTGGCCTTGCTGGGCCTCGGTTTCCTCAAACACAAGTAGGGATGATAACGGCACCTACCCACCGAGAGGTAATAAGACGCGTGAAGTGCTTAGAGCAGTGTCCGTCATGTGGTCAAGGCTCAAGGAAAGAAACATAAAGATTACATTGTGCAACCTCCCAAATGCCCGAGAAAGATCTGATAGGGAATCCCTTAACGGTGAGGAAGCCTGAGGGCTGAGAACATCTCTTAAGGAGATGATAATTTCTGCAGACTTTGAATCCTAGTTGTCTAGGAAATGGGAGAGGAGGTTTATTGGTCCGGGAGTCCCCAGAAGGACTCTCTTGCTGCGGGGGGAGGTGAGTGGCTGACCCACCGCCAGCATGAGCCTGGGCAGCAGGCGGGGCTGGCCTTCCCCACCGGCTCCATCCTCTTCCACGGGGCTGGGAAAGCGTGTGGTTTCCTCTGTGACAACCCACTGCTGAGTCCGGTCTTCCAGAAGCCTGGGCCCATTGGCATTCAAGTTCCGGTAGAATTAGCACTTTAGATAAAGGCTTTGTGAAGTCATCGGTGTGCAATGCGAGTGGCCCTGAAGCCCTCACCAGCCCTGCTCAGACAGATCTCCCCCCGGGGTCCACTGGGGGCCTGAGTGGGGAAGGCCATTGCCTGATGCAGAACCTGACTTCCCCCTTGGCCTGTGTGATCTAAGCAGTGAAGTGCTTCCTGGCTAAGCCCACTGCGTCAGACCTTGATGTCCAGGCTCTGTGCAGGACAGGGAGGAGGGGCAGCGGCAGCTAGTTTGGCCTTTCATCGAGGCAGAGGGCCTCAGGAGCCCGGCACCTTTCAGTCAGCAGAACAGGATGCCAAGGCCACCGAGGGCAGCGGCTGTCCAGGGTGTGCGGCTGGTGTGGGGCGGAGAGGGCACTTGGCCCCAGTTCTCAGACCCCCGGCGAGCCCTGTCCCCAGCACAGCAGCGCCCCACCGTGCATAGGGAGAGACAGCAGGCGAAGCAGCCCACCTGCAGCACGGGCCTGGAGCAGAGGGGCGGCCGGATTGGGAAGAGTCCTCTGGGTGGGTGCATGGCACAGAGGGGCGGCCGGATTGGGAAGAGTCCTCTGGGTGGGTGCATGGCGCAGAGGGGCGGCTGGATTGGGAAGAGTCCTCTGGGTGAGTGCGTGGCGCAGAGGGGCGGCCGGATTGGGAAGAGTCCTCTGGGTGGGTGCGTGGCGCAGAGGGGCGGCTGGATTGGGAAGAGTCCTCTGGGTGGGTGCGTGGCACAGAGGGGCGGCAGGATTGGGAAGAGTCCTCTGGGTGGGTGCGTGGCGCAGAGGGGCGGCTGGATTGGGAAGAGTCCCCTGGGTGGGTGCGTGGCGCCTGCCTGACCCTGCTGCCTCCCTGGTGCCAGAAACGCTCTTAGTACCGGCAGTCAGTTTAGCAAATGCCTGCCTGCACTGATTTCGCCCTCATTTAAACGCTGAAGCTCCTGCTTGTGTCTGAGAACAATGAAACTTTATTTGGATTTTAGATTCATCGGTATCAAAAGCTAACACCAAGACTCTGAGTGTCACACAGGATGCTGGAGTTGGCTCGTGTTAACATCGCCCCTTTTCTCCTGGGTGGAACCGCGCAAGGTCACGGTGATGCAGGCTGAAGAAAACACTCGGCGTAGGCCTGGCCCTCGGAACCTCGCTCTAAGGTGGAAAGGTGGACACTGAATACGTAAACAACAAATGACTTCAAAGAAGCAAATGCCATGAAGCAAATGAAGATTTCCAACTATTTTTGAGACAAATCCTCCTAAATGGACCTCTGTAACCTCAAATCAATCACTAAAAAAGTGAAACTTATTTCTTTCCCCTATTCTGACTTTTCTGCCTGACTTCTGGTCTTTAGTGATAAAGCCAGCCCTTCAGAGTGGCCCTCGTGTTCAGAGCAGGGGCCACGTTGAGGACGCACTGAAAGCTGTGAAAGCTCCTGCGGAGATGCGTCCTTTTCTGCACTCAGTTTCAGGGGCTTCGTGGTTTCTGGTTAAGGACTTAATCTTGGAATGAAGAGACGTGGGCACATGAGGGGCCCTGCTCAGCTGTAGCTCCTAGTTTCCTGGAGGTAGAGACCAAATACTTAGGCCAACTTGCCCTTATAGCACTTTTTGATTTCTGTTGACTTAAGAACAGACACAAAATAATATAATATTAATTTTTCAGCCATTCAGCATGTATTTATTGATTTCAAATGCAAAGAAGTAAAGTGACTTGCTCAAGGCCACCAGCTAATTAGCAGAGTCAGAACTTTACCCCAGTCTTCTTTTCCTCTAGAGCATCTGGGACAACACTCAGGTAATACAGAAAGTGCGTTGACGGGGATGGTGGTGAATGTAGTGATGGTGTTGACGGCAGCAGTGGCAGCGTGGTGCTGTTGCAGTGGCAGTGATGGTGGTGGCATCGCTCATAATGGTGATGGTGTTGGTGGTGATGGTGGTGGTGGTGGTGATGGTGTGAGGTGGTGGTGTGTGTGTGTATGTGGTGGATGATGGTTTGGTGGTGATGGTGGTGTGTTGGTGGTGATGGGTGGGATGTGGTGATGTGTGTGATGGTGGTATGTGGTGATGGTGGTGGTGATGGTTGATGTGTGTGGTGTTGATGGTGGTGAATGGTGGTGTGTGGGATGGTTGGTGTGATCGTGTGGTGTGGTGTATGGTGGTGGTGTGGTGATTGGTGTGTTGGGTGTGAAGGTGTGATGGTGTGATGTGATGGTGGTGGTGTTGGTGGTGTTGGTGGTGATGGTGGTGGTGGTGGTGTTGGTGTGAGGTGGTGTGATGGTGTTGTGGTGATGTGGTGATGTGTGGGGTGGTGGTGTGGGGTGATGGTGGTGGCACACCATAACTGGTGATGGTGTTGGTGTAATGTGGTGGTGGTGATGGTGGTGGTGGTGTGTGATGGTGGTGATGGGCTGATGGGTGTTATGGTGGTGTGGTGTGGTTGGGTGATGGTGGTGGCATCATCCATAAGTGGTGATGGTGTTGGCTGGAATGTGGTGTGATGTGGTGGCTGGTGTGATGTGTAGGGTGGTGAGGTTGATGGTGGTGGTGGTGGTGGTGGTGGTGGGGTGTGGTGGTGATGTTATGGGGGTGTGGTGGTAGTGACTGGTGGTGGCGGATGTGGTGTGATGGTGGTGATGTGTGATGGTGGTGGTGTGTGGTGATGTGTGGTGGTGTGGTGGGTGTGGTGTGTGTGTGAGGTGTTGGTGTGGTGTGGTGGTGATGGTGGGTGTGGTGGTGGTGGTGGTGTGGTGGTGATGTGGTGGGTGGTGGGTGGGGATGTGTGGTGGTGGTGTGTGGGTATGTGGTGGTGGTGGTGGTGTGGTATGTGGTGGTGGTGGTGTGATGATTGGTCGTGGTGGTGGTGTGGTGTGTGATAGGTTGGTGGGTGTGTGATGTGTGGTGGTGGTGTGATGGGTGTGATGGATGGGGGTGTGGTGGTGTGGTGGTGATGTGTGGTGGTCTGGTGTGGTGGTGAGTGGGTGTGTGGGTAAGGTGGTGTGGTGGTGGTGGGTGGTGTGATGGTGAGGGTGGTGGTGGGAGTGGTGGTGGTGGTGGTGGTGGTGGTGTGGTGGTGGTGTGTGGTGGTGTATGTGGTCGGTGGTGTGTGGTGATGGTGGGTGGGTGTGGTGTGGTGGTGATGGTGGTGGTGGTGGTGGTGGTTGGTGATGTGTGAGAGGTGTGCTGGTGTGGTGGTGATGTGGTTTGGTGTGTGGGTGGTGGTGATGGGTGCGTGGGCTGGTGCTGGCTGATGTTAGTTGGTGCGTGTGTGGTGGTGTGTCGGATGGTGCGTGGTGGTGGTGGGTGTGGTGGTGGTGAATGGTGGCGTGCTGGCTGGTGGCTTGGTGGGTGATGGTGGGTGGCTGGTGGTGGTGGTGGTGGTGGTGGTGAATGTGGTGGTGATGGTGGGTGGTGGGTGGTGGTGTGGTGGTGTGATGTGGCTGGTGGATGCGTGGCGGCGGTGGTGGTCGCGGTGCTGGTGTGAGTGTGCTGGTGGGTTGCTGGGCGCTGTGATTGGTGGTGGTGTTTGGTCACTGATGGTGTGGTGGTGGTGGTGATGTGGTGGTGCGTGGTGGTTGGTGTGGTGTGTGGTTTGGTGGTGCATGGTGGTGGTGAGTGGTGTGTGGTGGTGGTGATGCGTGTGGGTGGTGTGTGGTGTGGTGGATGGTGGTTGGTGGTGATGTGAGGTGGTGGTGTGTGGTGTGAGGTGTGGTGGTGCTGGTTGATGTGTGGTGGTGGTGGTGGTGGTGGTGGTGATGGGGGTGGTGTGGGGTGGTGGTGGTGGGGGTGGTGGGTGGTTGTGTGTTGGTTGTATTTCGGTTTGTGTGTGGTGGTATTTTGGTTTGTGTTGTGTTTGTTGTTGGAGTGGTGTGCTGGTGTATGGTGTGTTGGTTTGGTGGTGGTGTGTGTGTGTTGTTGGGGTGAGGTGGTTGGTGGTTGGTATGGGTGGCTGCGGGGTGGCTGGTGGGGTGGTGGCTGGCTCGGTGGTGGTGATGTTGGTGGTGGCTGGATCGTGGGTGGCTGGTGATGGTCGGTGGTTGGTGGTGGTGAGGGTGGTGGATTGATGGGTGGTGTTGTGGTGATGTGGTGGGTGGGTGATGGTGTGCTGGTGCGATCGATGTGCGTGCTAGTGGCCATAACAGTATTGTGGTGATGGTAGCAGTGATGGGGTTGTTCCTGTGGCAGTGGCGACACAGAGGATAGTGGCAGTGGTGGGTTGGGGGTGTTGGTGGCAATAGTGGCAGTGCAGAGCAATGGTGGTGAGTGTTGCGCCGTGAACGCTGAGTGTGGTGGGAAGCCAAAAATCAAGGGTATTTTAGGAAATGCAAAACATTTTATCCAGTCACCCTGGTTACTCTTCAGCATTTATTTGTCTTTGTGGTTTATTCCATTCCTCCTCTTCCTCCCCCACCCCTCATATTATTGGTATCACAGATACTTGCTTTCATCTAGGAGTTCTCTTTTCTTTGGATCTGCTTATTATGTCTGGACTAAAAATATATATTATTAGAATGGCAGGACATATATCTTTGCTTTGCTTTGTAAATCATGAGTATGTTCTATTGTTATGGAACAAATGCCTGCATCCTATAAAAATGCAGTCTTTTCAGAGCAAGGCTCTTAAATCTCCAGGAGTTCTTTTTAACTTGTATTTTGTTGCACATGACCTAACATGCTGCAGTTACAGGACACCCAGAAGCAAGAGACTGATAATAGCCATAATAGCGGCCCAGGGGATGTGTTGACCTCCCTCCACCATTCTGTCCTCAGCACTTTTACCTCCTGTGGGATGAATCCCGCCTTCTCTTGCTGGCATTCATACTGGAAAAGGTTCAATTCAAATGGGTATCAAGTTGGTGTATTTTTGGAGATGCTGGTAGGGCTGTTATCATTGTCAGACCAACTGCTAGTATTGTGTTTGCATTTCATCTCTGGCTGCTGTCTTACTCAGTTTTGTTTTTTTTATTTTTCAGAGCCGCGTGGGTGAGCACATTGGTGGCATGCTGATCACATGCCCAGGCTGCCGTGGGGCCGGGAGCAGGGCTAATAGGCCGGATGGGGGAATAACGAGCCACGGCGATGCTCACAGTCTGGGTGGCCAGGCCAAGCAGACCACCTGGAACATCACGGGGACAAGTGCAACATCCGGCCCTTGGGGCCAAGCAAGTGGCGCGGGAGGGCAGGTAGGGGCTCAGCTGGGTCTGGGAGACATCCGTGAGTGGTGCTAAACTGCAGCTTCAAGGTGCGAGCTGGCTGCCAAGAAAGGGAGATTCGGGGTGTTGTTAGGGTGAGGAGGAAACAGCTGTATTCTGGAGCCTTTGCTGGGGCCCCGTGTGAGTTTTCCTCACCACATGTGACAGGAAGGGGTTATGTTGAGCAGAGGGGCCAGGAGGGTGGGGCTGAGGGAGGGACTTGAAATGTCACAAGAATCTTAGCGTGGGAGCCTGGACACCCGCAGCTCTGGTGAACTGTTATTGGTTTAAACACGTTCGACTACAATTTATGGACAGCCCAACTAGCAGTGGCTAGGTGAGAGAAATGCGATTACCTCACAGGCCCCTCCAGGGTGAGCGGCAGGCTTAATGATGTCATCCAAGGCCCAGGCTCCTTCTGGACTTAGGCTCTGCATTCTTGGCTTCTTGGCTTGTCATCCATAAGTTTGTCACCTCATGGTCCCAAGATGGTTGCTGTAGCTCCAAGCATCACACTCTCACATACCACATTCAGGGCAAGGAGAAATGGGAGAGACAGAGCCAGGGAGCTTTTCTCAAACACGTTACCCTTCTATCAAGAAGCAAACGCTTTTCCAGAAGTTTCTTAGCAGGCTTCTTATATCTCCATGGCCGATTATGTCATGTGGCCACCCCACCCTTTGGTTCTTCAGTTTCAAAGACTAACTAGACCTCACCTGTAGGGCTAGGGAAGGGGGCGTTTGTTCTTAAACACATCGCTGCCCACCCCACAATGAAACAAAATTGGCATTTCTTAGCACGAAAAAGGGGATGTGAGGACTAGCTGTTGGATGAGTAGCAACCAAGTGTATCTGCTGCTGGGCATAAGCTTACTTTTCAAGCATGAAAAGGATTGGTATGCGGAACAGGGTTTGTTTACGATGCTCCAGAGGCAAAATTTGGGCAAACACCGTGCTAATCAGTAGGTTAGGAGAAAGCCAATTTTTGGTTCTACTCAAGGCAAGATTGCCTGATAACTGCAGTTGTCCAGAAACGGAGGTGAGCTTCAGTGGAGATGTGAGCCGAGTTAATGCCCACCTGGTGGGACATAGTAAGGGGGACTGCTGCGCTGGTTGGGCTGGGGCAGCTGTGGGGAAAACAGGCATTTACGCCAACCTGTGAGCTTCCTGCCAGCCCAGAGAGCTTGTGATTCTAGTAATTAGTTTTTCCCCCTTTGATCATTCATTAAATAATTATGCTAATTGGAGAAAATGTTTCTACCAAGTGAGGTATAATTTCAAGTTCAATGGCACTTTGTATCTTTAGCACCATTGTATGAGATGTGGAGTTTACCTTGGACCTGGGTCTGTACTGTACTTCGTTTATAACTGTTACTTTTACCAGGACAAGGCAAGGAGGGACACATTCTTCAGTGAGTCAGTTATAGAGAATGTGCACCTGGCCCACTAACGGGCATCTTAAGTGCTGATTCCCGTGGCCCCAGAATCTTGTTAGATTTGCTGCACTGAGGAAGTATCAACGGGGCGGAGCCAGGCTCTGGCACCTCTGATATTTTATGCCTGGTAGGGCACGGCGACCCGGTATGGATCAGGGAGAAAAGGATGAACCCAACCAGTTAAAAGAACTTGCTCAATTTCTCTCCAAATGAGAGATTCTTGGTTCTAGTTGGTTCTAGTATTCATGGCAAACACAATTTCTCGTTTAAAGTCTCTGAAAGCTTCTTGAACAACAGTCTCAATTTCCTTGCTGTCACTTAGTGAAAACAAGGAAAGGACGTGGAATAGACACCCTTTGGCCATCCCTTATTCTCTCTTCTTTCTACACTGCTGCTGCCTGGTGCAGTCCCAACAGTCCTGGCAAATCAGAAGACCCTACTCCACCCCAGCCACTGCTTGTGGGACCAGTAGAGTCTCTCCCTGGAGCTTGGAGCTGGGGAGGAGGTGATCAGTCTCTGTTGGACGTCTGGTCTTAGAAGCAGTGTGGGTGGCTGCCTTCTACCATGTGCTCGGAGGAGCCTGAAGGACAGGTACAGAGAGCCAGCCGACCACAGACAGAGGCCGGGGCCTTGTCCGCCTGCGTCCTGCCTCAGTGTTCGTCCCTGTGTTTGAGGCCCCGGACATTCCCAGCCTCCTCTTACATGCTGCACTTCGGCGTCCACCCTGCACCTCCTCCCCGTTTCGTGTGGGCTGGCTGGCCTGGAGTTTTGTTTCTGTACAGGAACTTGAGAGAGAGCCCATGCTTAGAAGGGCCTAACAGGAAGCTAATATGAATTATAAAAAGAACTTTATTATTTTTCTACATACAAAATTATAAATGCTCATTGTAAAAAAAAGTATAGAAATGTGTGTCTTAGAATGTGAAAATTCCCACAATAATCCTCCTTAGAGAAAATCGCTCTCGATGGTTCCTGAGAGTGATCCAGCCTCGCTTGGGCCCTTCCCTCGCCACACATTGTTCCAAGCACCGCACCTGTGCTAGCTCCTGTAATGCCCCCCTGAGGCCAGGAGGTGGGACTAATATGTCCTCCTCCTAAAGATGGGGAAACTCAGCCACAAAGAGGGCAAGGGCAGAGGAAGGATTTGAATCCGGACGGGCGGGCTCCAAGCAGGGGCTCTTAACCACTGTGCGAGGCAACCTCTTCTCTTACTACTGTTGCTACTTGTATTTGTTGTTGATTGCTATGTAACAAATTGCCACATACTTAGGGACTTCGAATAACAAGCAAGCAACCTATTATCCCATAGTTGCGGGGGTCAGGGGTGCAGGCACGTTTATCTGGGCCCTTGGCCTTGGAGTTTCTCATGGGTCAGTAATCAAGCCCTGGGCCAGGGCTGGGACTCACCTGAGACTCTGCTCACCACTACCCTCCTTTTCAAATGCTGGTGTTTTTAACAGCTCCTGATAATGGCCGACTGGCGTAGCTGGCTTAGGGGAAGGCCACAATGGCACCTTGAACTGGAGACAGCCAGGCTCACAGCTCAGGGCACTGGCCTGATCCGGCCTCCTGATGCAGGAGGAGCTGGGCCAGAGAGGAAGCGGGGGCCTGCCAGCCTCTCCTGGCCTGTTTCCCAGCTGGGGACCGAAGCGCAGGCAAGGGCTAAGCGGGGGCATGAGCCCTGCTGTGCGTGGCATGGGCAGTGTGGGACCTGGGAGGCTCTGAGCACTCCCCCCACCTCCTTGCCCTCTAGGCCCCGGCACAGGGGATGGCCGGCTCTCCTGGGAGGCTGGGCCAGGGGTGGAGAGAGATGGGAGGCGTTTGCTCCAGGTCTCCTGGAGAGGAGGGCGGGGAGGTGAGGTGCTCCCTGACCCGTATCCTACGGAGAGTTTGCACCTTGCTTTCATCACTAGACCACGTATCTGGGCATCTTCCTGTGTCAGAACATACGGATGCAATCCACCCTTTTGTGTGACTGCTTAGCGTCCTGCTGTGTGGGCAGCTGGCGGAACTTGGTCTTTAGGTGCTCTGAGGCCTCTGCACTGTCATCATGAAAGCAGGTGCCCTCAACATCAGCCTCCTGAACACAGTCGTTCTGAGGTTGGTGCTGGTGTATCTCCCAGTGAAGCTCCCTGCCCAGTGGGGTCACCAGGACTTCCAAGCAAGGATGGCTCCTGGCTGTCCTGGGGCCTCCTCTCCTGTAGGGCTGAGGAGTCTCTGCATTGGAAAAGGCAGGTGTGAGATGCCCTGGGGACACCGCAGTGAAAGCAGGTGCTATTTCCTTTAAGGTAGCCCCACCTTTGCCCCCTCCCCCCTTCCATTGCAGGCTCAGCTGGCTCTCTGCGCACAGTAGTCTGCTCCGCGCGGCTCCTGGAACAGGCTTTAGACAGTCTTTCATGCCCCCTCTGAGTTACTCAGAGTTTTAATAAATCCTTTTCCCTTACTTACCTTTTTTCCCCTAAAAAGTCTGAAATCATATAGTGCGACTTCTGTGTACAGCTCAGTTCCCTTGTGTATTTAAAGTGGCTGTAGTTCTAGCTTACTTATTGGCAAGTAGTTGTAATTTACTATGCTAATTGCTTTGTCCCAGAAAGCTCCTTGAAGCTTCGCCACAGATAGCCGTATGGGATATTTTTATCAGCCCCAATAAAATGGAAGAGGAAACTGAGGCAGAGAAAGTGGAGCACTCTAGGCCTGCATGCCCAGTCCCAGGGCCGCAGCCCACCCAGTATATGTTCGTGGCCCATTAGGAAATGTGCCATGTATCACTGCCAAGCTCCACCCCTGCTCGGTGACACCCCACACTTAGTCTATGGACAAATTGCCTTCCATGAAACCAGTCCCTAATGCCAAAAAGGTTGGGGACCGCTGCTCTAGGCCATTTATCTGGAAAGTGGGTGCCTCTGAACGGACACCTGCTTATTAGCAAACCCACACTGTCAAGCCCTCTGCCACGAAGAATCAGTGTCCTGCCCCTTCTGTGGGCTCACTGTGGGTCCCGCTAAGAACAAGGTTATTCAGCTCCTCAGGAGGACAAGGAGAAATTGGAGTGCCTCCAGGGAAGGCCCTGGAAAGTGATTAAGAGGACAAGAGTAAGACTGGTGAGAATGTGCAGAGGAATAAGTGTAATTCAATCTAGAGACATAAATCCTAGGGGTGAAATTAATGGCATTCTACTGATGTCTTCATGAGAATCAATTAAAATATTTTTAAAAACAAGAGCCAGTCTGCTAGTTTTATTATATGATGTCAAAGGAATGATTTAACCTTGATTTTATTTAATTAGCTTAACAAATATACAGTGCTCAGCCACCGTGGCCAGGATAAAGCGTGAACAAGACAGGCAAGGACCCTTCTCTGGTAGAATTTACATTTTGGGGGCAGGGGTCAGGGAAGGCAGGGACAGAGGCAGACAAGGTCAGCGAGGAAAGGATATGGGGACAGGACCCTTCCAGTCAATGACAAATGCCAGGAAGGCAGCAGGGCAGCAGGCTGGGCTTCCCCGGGAGGGATCATTCGAGCTGAGACCTTAAAGCCATGTGAGGCCCTGGGGATGGAGTGGTCCAGGCAGGGGGATCTCGACTTGGGGAAGAGTTTGGCAAAGACAAGGAACGCAATGCAGGACTGGGAGGCTGGGTGGCAAAGGGCGGGAGGTCAAGCCGGACAGGGGTGCTCTCTGCTGCTGTGGGAGTTGGAGGTCAGGGTGGGGGCACCTGCGTGAGAGATGAATGCGGGGCGGTGGGGAGAGGGCCCCTTTGGGTCTGTCTTGTGTCATTAGTGCTGACAGGAAATCATGGGGGATTATGTGAGGGGTTGGGGACAGGAATGAGAAAGAGAAAAGACTTAAGGATGATCAAGTTTTTGGAAGGAAGAATCAACTCTCTATTTTGTTGTCATTTTACTAGCAAGAAGAACTAGAAAGGAGTTTTAAAGTTCCCTTCCTTGGGGGTTCCGTAGCTGATACTCCCAGGCCATCAATTCTGTGTGGCATTTGGGTCCCTGTGTATTTTTTTAGCAAGAGGATACAACCTCTCATTTATTTCTTAGAAGGAAAAACCTCCCCCTCCCCACCTTCCAGCAACAGAAAGGTTGAGTCTGACCTAGACCAAACCCTCCCCACTCCGTCTCATTTTGCAAGCAAGGAAACGAGGGTTTGACAGCAATCTGCAGATGGTCACACCATGTCTGGCTCTTGGCAGTCCTCGCCCCCCGACTGGCCAGCCAGGGCTCTCTCTGCTACAGGAGCTGCCTCAGGGCGCAGGGAGGCAGAGAGGCAGACAGACATAGATGCCATCTCTCCTAACCTGGACAGGAGCAAGGGTTCTTTCTATTGAGAGGTCAGTTCTCTAACTTGGTGGCCTCAGCTCCCAGTGCCTTCTCTCTGGCGGGCCTAATAGAAATTTAAGCAGGTTTGTTACTAAGAAAGGTCCCCAATATTTGAGTGTTTATGAAATGCAAGTAGGATCCAGGTGTGACTGGAGCTAAAAGGAGGCAGCAGTGAGGTGTGTGTGTTGGTCTATTTTAGGGTGCAAATCACCAAGGTTTGGGGCCCGTGGGAGGGTGGTAAGATCTTCTAAGAAGTGTTCCCTTAAATGTTTTCTCAGTAAGCCCTGAATTACAGCCCATCAGACAGGATCTTGAACAGAAATCTCTTTCGTTACTGCAATACCACAACGTACATTTTAAGGGCAGGAGTCAGAGCCTTAGAGAAACCCAAGGTGAAATGAATTATGTTTTGCTTCCAGTTTTGACTTTCCACAACTGAGGCACACTTTTATGGGTCAGTCTCTGAAGGACAGCTAAAGGAAACAGAAAAAACAAAAGAAGTCCTAAAAAAAGCTGGTGTTAGGAAGATAAAATCATAGTGTTTCTGAAAGTGTGGGCAGATAAAATGGAGACCTCCTCCTAGAAATTTCCAAATGAAATTTTAAAACCTTTGTAATGACCTTTTATGTAGCCTGGAGAGCAAGCGCACAAATGGGACTGCGACATCCGCGACCAGAAGCGCACGCGGGGGGCGGGGCTCCTCGGGGACGCTAACTGCCTCCCCACCCGCGCTGACTCGCTTTCAGCCCAGGCCAGACCGATGAAGTCCTGGGACGGAGAAAGGCCTTCTCAACCCGACTGCCCCCACCGGGGTTTTCCGGTGTGCTTTTTTGTGTTGAGGCAGGGGCTTGTCTCAAAGAGGTCTCTGTTCAAAGGGAACATGAGCTCCTCGGGCAGCTGTGGCAGCACAGTCACGTGGCCGCTGACCGAGCTTGGCTGAGATGTGTGGGAGTGAGCCACGCAGCAGGTCTGTCCTGATGAGTCGAGGAGGGATGAACCATCCTGGGGTCGGGGGTCATCTGGGGTGGGGACGCTTCTGCGGTGAGCAGCCCCGGGGTGGCTACCATGGGTGTTGGAAGCCAAGCTAGTCTCCCAGTCCTGCCCTACTGGGACTGGCCAAGCCCTGACTTTGCACTTGGCTCAGATCCCTTCGAAAGGACATGGAAGCATGGAGTCAGGCAGTTTGCTCAAAGCAAACTCCTGTTTGCAGCCTGAGGAGTGAGGGTTAGGGTCTTACTTGTTCAAATGGAGAGTTAAGGTCTCCTGCTAGTTCACCAGGCATGGGCTTGCAAAGGACCTAGAATTCAGTCACCTCCAAAAGCAGTGCCACTTCCTCCTAGGAAGAGATGATTATCCTCATTTGAGATCTAGAGAGGAGCTAGCATATCTCCATCTCTCCGATTTTAGCTTAGCCAGCCAAGCTTTAGTAGGAACTGTGATGATTGAATCTGCAACGCGTGCTCTGGCAGTAGAATGTTTACTATATAAAGGTTAATTCACCTCTACAAAGAGATACTTTCTCTCACTCTCAGAGCTGCTACAGATTTCTGTGGAAATATATTTGGCTTTAATACCCTGACCACAAAAATTAGGAAAATATATTATACTCTTGGGACCTTCCGAGCATTAACTACCTGGAAAACTCTAGGTATCACTGGCATTACAGTAGGGAATAATGAGAGAGTGGGAATCTAATGCTTTAGTGTTTGACTGGGCAGATGAGTAAACTGAGGCCCCGAGAGCTTCGCTGCTTGCTCAGTCTAGGAAGAGACGAGCTAGGGATTGAGCTCACCACATCCCCGATAAGCGCTTCTGCAAGCTGGTGCTTAGGGTGGGGCAGGGCAGGAAGGAGTGTCTGGCATCTGGGGAGGGAGGAATGCCTTTTTGTTCCTTTTTGGGATATTTAGTGAAATCCGTGGTGCACTACATGAGTAGGGAGTAGTCTGGGAAAGGCCCTTCCTTTCTCACTTCCCCGTCTGTTCAGTACAGGGTGGAGCCAGGTCACC